GAACAGTCTCAATTTGCAGACCGACACCGAGGGTCTTAATAAGGCATATCTACCGATAATAAACAAAGTCTGACTTTCGATCCTGTCGACCCGTCTCCTCTCTCAGTGCGTCGCGTGCCGTCTTAGCGAGCGTTCGGTGTCATGTGCGATGTTGACATGTCTGACTTCGACGATTACATCCCTATCATTGTCAGGGATTTTCACACTTGTCATGCATTGCGGCGATTTTCATTTCCTGTTCGGATGCGTTGGTGAGTGAGCACTTGGCTTCTTATCTGCGGCGTGTTTTGATTTTAAGTTTTAAAGTTTTTTAGTTTACTTGTCTTTTATGAGTTCCCTTCCTTTTCCGTTTTTCAGTCAGCACTTGACTATGTCTCTTAACATCGGTTTGATTGCCCTATCGCACATACAACATTAAGCTACGTCGAGATCCATCACATTTGCTGATTTCCGCGCGTTAAAAATGTTGCGTCACTGAATGTTATCGATTTATTATTATCTTTCTCTGTTGTATTCTTTTATGTTCTTTTTATATCTTTTATATTATATTCTTTTTACATCTGAGGAGGGCTCAATCCAGCAGCCGAAACTTGTTTGTTTTATATTTTAATATACGCCGTTGTACTTTTTATTTTATTTTATGTATCTTTGACTGTTATCTTTAATTATATATATTATGCGACGACTCTTTTTCGCCATTTATTTTGTTTATTTTGTTTATACATAAAGAGTCTTTATACCGTTGTTATTTAATTAAAATTCAATCATAAATTACAAAATGACAAAACAAACGTTTCAACTCCGCTCGAGTCATTTTCAATGTTGCGGTAATATTAAAACATCGCTATAAAAATATCTATGGTATTACATATCGTGTAGTGCCTTGCGAGTCAGTTATATCAGAATTCAAAGTAGTTAGAAAAACATTCTAGAAACGTGATCGTGAACAAAACATACTTGATACATGCGAATTAATAATATAATTATGTACCTTATCAATATCGGTAAAAGTGTTGAGAGATCATTAATAAAAAAGAGAGAAAATGCAGGTAGTCCATATGCACAATGGATTTTTAAAAAATTGAAGCAAGTTTGCAAGAGTAGCGAACATCTCCAACTTCTACAATATCGAATAACGCAATGTCGAAAAGGAAAACACTAATCGAGAACGGAAAACGGCAAAAAAGGATCCAAAATGGTGTAACCCCTTAAGCATCTAAGATCCAGCTTCGACCGTTATAGGTTTTAAATTCTTCTTTGTTGTGTATTTACATATATAATCTTAATAAATCGTTTATTATTATATTTTTATATATTAATCAGCTTCATTTATTAAAGCATCTCCAGTTTATTGATCTGTATTAATTCATTAAGAGGATTCGAAAGCCTGTATTACCAACTAAACGTTTACCAACTAAATTTTTGTATAATGATTATTGTTTTCCTCTTTTACAGATTTGAAATTTTTTTCCAAGATTAAAGTATATGCATTAAGGTGGTTGCACCGCAAAATGACTTTTCTTAAGATTTATTTGTAGTTTTTAGTGTTTGAAGATAATTTAAGATATTTTATATACATACACATAATTTTGAGAGTGGGTAATCAGGCATGTTCAAGAGATAATTGCATTTGAAGCTAGTACTTTTAACATCCCTGTGCTAGACAAGGAACGACAGTATATTTTCAATTATAGCGCAAAAATGATATTTATAAATTTGTTCAAAAACTAAAAGATTATAGATAAATATATTATGAATTCCCTAAACTTATGCTATTTAGAAGCATAGGGCAATTAAAACGAATCATTGACAATATATGAGATTTTAAAGTATGTATATGTATCTAATTGCGACAAATGTCAATTTATTGATTGTAAAAAATTTTATATACTGAAAATGATCAGATAAATAGTCGAAAACGTTCTAATTAAATAATATTATTTTCGAAATAAAAAACAATTAGGCAAAAACATCTAGCATTAGGCTTATATGCTCCTTATTACGACTTTTATTATTTATGTATATGCGATATTGATGTAGTAGTATATAAAAGGTATATTTAGCACAACCTACAGACGCTAGTAAGAGATTGTTATAGGTTTTAGTTGGATAGAAAATAGCGGACACGGCTTATGCGAGGTTTACAATAGGAGTTGTAGACGGTTGTGCAGTCTTAAGTCACAGAAAATTGACCTTTCATAGTCGATTATTTTCCTTATATTTTGACTGTAATTCATTAATTTTCTACGACGTAAGATCCCACGTCAATAATTTTTATTACAGATTCCACATTAAGTATTATGCCCGTATCATACTACGCATTAAAGATTGAGGATTGCGAATTGAAGATTAGAATTCAGCCAATCAGAACAAAACGGATTAAAATAAAAATTATCTGATTGGTCGAATTCTAATCTTTAATTCGCAATCTCAAATGCGTAGTGTGTCACGGGCATTACGGCTGTTAACTGACACATATATAAAATGTAGTAAGAATATTATATTAATGTTTGATTATTGCATAATCAAATATTCCGCTTAATGTGTTAAACAATGTTAATAAAATTTGCAAAATTGAATATTGTTAAAGGAAAAATAATTATCTGTTGTAAGATAAGAAAATAAAGTGTTATAATTACAATTCTATCATAAAAAACAATATAATGTTGTATTATAGAAAACGGGTTTTGTATTTTGGGGTGTAAGAACAGAAGCAAGGAAAGATATGAAGCGCTTTCCATTAGATCCAATAATTATTTGGTTGTTCGGAAAGTAATTTTGTTTTTTCTTATGAAAATGAAAGACGATTTTCAATCAGACGCGTTTCAAATGATCATGAACGGTCGAATTCGATAAATTTAATCTCTCAGCGATCTCACGAGTTGTTATTCGCCGATTTGCATCAATTAATGCCTTTATTGTGTCTTCATCAGCTTCAACTGGCCTTCCAGAACGTGGTGCATCTTCAACATCAAAATTGCCGGATCGAAATTTTGCAAAATTTCCAGTTTTGGTACTGGCGTTCTGTCAATACATCTTCTCCATACACATCGGATAATTTTTTCTTGCTTGAACAGCATTTTTACCTTTTCGATACTAAAAAAGTAAAATGTGCCGAAAATGCTGCTTTTCACTTTCATATTTGATAGGGCACCAACCAAAAACTACTGCGTAGAATCAATCGAACTTTTTTCACAAGCAAGCCTTGCTATATCAGCTGTCAAAATATATAATGATTATGCGGCTTAAGTGTGAAGTTGGCTGTGAAAAAATACAATAAGTCCTCTGTTGGGAAAAAACGAAATTACTTTCCGAATAACCTAATACTTAATTATGTCATAAGCGTGTATATATACACGCACGCACGCACGCACGCACGCACGCACGCATACGCACACACATATACACTTATGTTTCTGTTTTATATTACTAATGTTAATTATATGTTTCTATTTATTCATAGCTATGTCATTATGGTTCATATAGTCATTTATATAGACATTTTGCAGTGATATTAACATTTATTAAAATTAGACCATTTATGCCAATCTCTTACTATAGTGTCTCTGGCACAATCGCTCACTGAGCGTTCATTGAATGCACCCAAAGATATCGACGTGTCGCATTTTATTGGTAAAACAACAATTTCGTTAGAATTCGGATTTAAGTGTAAAATTCCCTTAAGTCCCAAGAGACACCAACGTATTTTTCTATCTTAAATTCTTGTAACTCGAGTTCTGATCAACATTTTTAGACCATAATTGGTATTTAAGTATGAAAATAGTGGCTCTTCAAAAATCTAATCAGTAATAAAGTGAAATGTTTATAAAGATTACAAGTGAAAATAAAGAAAGGTATAAGTGACCTGTTTTTTTACTAAAAAATATTCAATAAACATGATTGTCTACTTTTTGAGTAAAATACAAAATTAATGATAATAAAGAAATCTTTATATAAATAAATAATAAATACAATCTAGGACAAATAAGAATCTAACATTAAATAAATAAATTTATATTCATCAACCAAGAAATTACAAATTTGAAGATATTATATGCTAATCAATTATGTTTACCCGCGCTTGCTTGAATTTCTTCACGTTGACATTCAGAGCACTAGGTAGAAATCACATTGCCTCAAGACTCCATGGCGAGGGCCATAGTTGAGATAATGACGGTCTGCCATGCCGTTAACATAACGTTAAAATAATATCTCTAGAGGATTCGTTCTTCACACAAAATTAATTTGTTCTCATACGGACTGTGAAGTATATTTATCGTCACTATCTGACTGTTTTTTGTCATTATATTTTATACATTTTTAAATAATGATTTTGACGAAGTGTTCACATCCTATGAAACAATAACTGCAATCATGATGAAATCATCATAAAATTCCGTAACAATCGACCATCTAATCGTTTATAAGTATCGAACGTCTTCCATGTAACAGTCATCAAGATCGCTACATAAATTGGAACACATTACATCATGTTTTTTATTTCTTTGACGATGGTAACTAATGTAAAGCGAGAGAAGGATAATATCTGAAGATGGTTCAATATAAGAGCTGAAACATATATAATATTTCTAGTTTTCACATTATGTATGTATTTAACTCTTATTAATAATCTTTATACGTTCAAAATTTAAAAAATCCACTTTTGTTTGCCCGTTTATCATTATATTGTTATTAAATTTTTAAGAGTCCTTGATTATTTTATATTTAAATATTTCGATCAATAAAAAAGAAATCACTCTTACTCTTAATTGCATTTTCAAGGTTTATATCTTTTTCTCCAGATACTCTATCCCATCTCTGACTTAATTTTCAGAAAAAACTTTTTATATTTAAATACCAATTACGCGGCTTAAAAATTTTGATTAAAATTTTTAAGTTACAAGAATTTAAAACAGAAAAGTGCATAGCTTTTAGGATTTTATTGGGTCAATATAAATATTCCTATTTAGTTAATTAATGTTTTATATGATGTAACTTACCTGTTCCAGCTGTGCTAGTACCAGCTGCTGCGCTACCAAACGGTGATGTCTGCGCCGATGTCCCAAAAAGACCTGTTTGTGGACCTGTTCGAAAAAAGAAAAAAGCCAAATAATATTTTACTTTTCATATTTTACTTTTAAGTTAAAATAATGAATCAATATACAATATACCTTTTCTTCCAAGTTGATAATCTTCAAAACGTAACTCTTCGTATGATTTAGATTCATATTCCTTCATAGATGCAATGCAACAGTGACGGACTGAAATGCTGTGTGATATTCCATTTTTTGACATAGAATCAGTTGTAATGACAGGTGTGAATTTCACAGCGGTACCAGCTGGTATAGTAGTGGGATTAGTATTGCCAAAACCTGTACAGAGAGAAATTAAAGTGCTTAAAATTTTAAGTATTATTAACTGAAGTATACATACATAGTTGTGCTCATGATCTACCTGTGGTTGTACCAAAAAGATTTGTATTTGTGGTGGTATTGGTTTGACCAAACGGAGTAGTTTGCTGTGCATTCTGTTGTGGTTGTCCAAATAGATTAGTTCCAGATGTTGTGCCAAAGTTAAAACCAGGTTTGTTCGCTTGACCAAATGCCGAAGTCCCTGTACTTGTACCGAAAAGATTTGTACCAGCATTTTGTTGGGTGCCGAAAAGATTGGTACTTGTATTTGTTGTCCCAAAACCTGTAAATAAAATTTGTCAGGTTTTAACAATGTATAATATAGAATATCAGTAAATCAAATTAGATTTGTTTGCTTGCTAATCACATTTAATATTTACTGATTTAATGCCTATATTTATTGATTTAAAGAAGCTACCTGCTACCATTATAAAATAAATGTTAGTATGTAAAATAGTTAAATAAAAATGTTTTATACTACAAAAAATAATAAAATGGATATAAAATACATCATTTTGAAATTTTAATAAACCAATTTAACTTTTTAATTGTTTCTTTATGCTTCGTTACCTTTTTTAAATATATAAATAATTCTTGAAATATATGAATTCGCAAAAATTATTGCCAAATATTGTATAATAAAATATTTCGAGCAATCCTTAAACTGTGAAATGTTTTCTATATAATGAATGATCAGAAAGTTTCAGATGTGTGTACATTGAATATTTTGCACATGCATAAATACATGTAGAAAAATACATATATACATACAAAAAGTATTTTTTTAAGTTGATTTACATGCAAATAAAACAATAAATTTATAAATTGCTACCTCCAAAAGACTGAGTGTTAGTTGGCTGTCTAAATGCTGGTGGCGTTGTGGTATTTCCAAACAAGCCACCTGTGGTAGAACCTGTGGGTTTAGAACTAAAGAGTGATGAAGTATTGCTACTACCAAAGACGGGTGTTGCGCCACTACCAAAACTTGTTGTAGTAATGGATTTACTAAATGCAGATTGCCCAAACGGACTGTTTTGCGTCGCTGTACTAAATCCACCTTAAGAGTAAATAAATATTTCAAAATACGTATTAAAACAATTCCCAATTATAAATCTCTTGGATAATATTTACACATACAGGATGTTCCGAATTTAAATGGCCAAAATTCGAGAGAGTAAAGGAAATCGATAAACTAAGAAAAAAAATCTTTTAAAATGCTCGTTTTTATTTCGTTTTGAAGAAAATTACAACAAAAAAAAAACAGTTTTCATTTTTGTACTTATTTATTACTTACATATATAATACTATTTATTTCATTTACATACTATTTATTTATATTATTACTTGTCTAATGCAGATATTCAAAATGTTGATCTCTTGCAATAGTACACGCATTTTGCAATAGAACAGACAGTTTATGTTGCAGCCAAATACTGATCTGGTCAGTGTAATGGCTGCGTTCAAGAGAAAACTAATCAATTAGCGCTTAGTGATTCTTAATGTAATTGGTTCCTATACTTACAATATCCAA